AAATATTTCCTTCGTTGGGGTTTAACCCCCCAAAACGAACTCTAACAACACAGACCGATATGCGACAGAAGAACTGAAATGGAATTTCACCCTTTTTCCACAAACTCAGTTCAGTCTTAGCCAGGGTTACCAAAGACCAGCTCAAACCAATAGCGGTGGGAGAGAGAGAGAGAGAGAGAGAGAGAGAAAGAGAGACAGAGAGAGGAGTAGAAAACATGCATCTACAAGTTATTTGTGGCTCCAGATGATACTTAATGTTGAAGCAATGTAATTATAAATGCATGAGTGACAAGTCCAAAGCACTATTATTTCTCAATTTCGGAGTATCAGCAGCCCCCCGTCGACACGCATGTCGCCCCGATAGCCCCCCAAGCCCTGGAGCTCTCTCTCACCAGTGAGGGTAACAGAGAGGTAACCCGGGCCAGAATCATGCCGACAGAGAAGCAGCACGCAAGACAAGTGGTCAGTCATAAACATGTGACAGCATCTGAAAGACATCCTGCTATAAAGGAAGCTGAACAGCTCCAGCGTTGGAAAAAACAAAAATCTGTTAAAACCAAAAAAAAAAAAAAAAAAAACAGCTCTAGTTCTTGTAAACACCACCACAGGATATAATTTAGCAATTATGCTATTAAGTAAAATTTCAGGAACAACAAGAAAATCATCAGAGGAGCAGTTTACATAAAGTAGTTATGACTACAAAGGCACGCAGAGGCTTAAAGGAGAAGTAATGTGCTGAATGCTGTTTGATCCTTTGTGGAGACCAACATACGGTTAGAGAAACATTTTTAAAGAAAGGTTAATGTCCACATTGCTGTACTGCAGAGGAGCACCACATTAAGAAATAGACTGAACTAAGCTGGACAGTGAACAGGGCATGAACTCCTGTACGAAACTACGCTGACTCCAGGAGGGAGGCCGCAGTCGGGGTGCTGCATCAGGGCCCGCGGCTGATTTAATGTTCTGCCCAGAAGGGGGAAAAAGTACCCAGAGTTCAGAGGAAAGGCCCGCAAACTGCTTCCGAGGCCACTATTATCTGTTTTCAGCAGCACAACTGGAAAGATTCCAGAGGTCCCGGAGGGGTCGGCTGTTTTAACCAGGTCATACGTAGCCGCGGGGCTCTTCCCATTCGCCATTTGTTCCTGCCATTGTGTGTGTGCACATTTCTAAGTGCACGTGTGGGTGCAGAGCTAAGTGCTAAGTGTGTTTGGGATATTTACCTAGATTCCCAAAACGTCATGCCTTGGAAAACGACCTGCGCCTTCCACTACTGCACAAACCTGAGGAACACAGCTACAGATTCCTATTCTCTTACTTAAACTCTGCATATGCTGAAAAATATTTACAATGGGGGGGGGGGGATAAAACTGCAATCAGTTCCAGCGTGTGCTGCTTTCCTGGAGACCTTCCTGCATATATTAAAACAAGTTTGAGGGTTCAAAATTATGACAAGAACTAATTGCCAGCCCACAGTTTAAAGCAGATAACTAAGACCTAACAGAGGTTCAAACAGCCGTGTTGTTTATTATAAATGTCCATGTTGGGGTGCATAACTTAATTACTTCAGCATAATAGCAATTATTTCGTCTCACCACTTATCTTTGTGGCTTCAAAAGACTGACTTCAATTAGAAGGTAAAAACTGCATCAATAAGTAGATAGCAAGGAATTATTATACTGGCCTCTGTCAAAAGAATCATTAAGATGCTATAAATGAATTCCACAAGTAATTAATTTATGTCAAGAGATAAATATATTCAACAATTAAATGAATCAATTAATAAAGTTGCACAGTAAACCAGCAGGAAAGAAAATTAATTAGCTGGCACAAATAACTTTGGATGAAAACAACATCCTGTGAATTTTAGGTCATCTCAATAGTTCTGCACATAGGGGTGAGTGAGTGAGACCTGACGCGGCCTAGAGATGCCCACATGACTCATGTCAAAATGGGTATGAGACTTTAGTAAAAGGAACTCAAAAGGTGAAAAATGAAGCTTCAGTTGCTAAATCAGTCTGATCAGGGTCAGACAAAGGAAATCGTGTTTTTCCCCATAAGCCTCACAGACGTTTAAAGAGAAATTCTCATGTTGGTCCTGTATTCATAAATGAGAAATGAAAGAAAAGCAGTAAAAAAAAAAAAACAAAGGCATGCATCAAATATGCCAGGGGAGGTGACGTCAGGGTCCTGATGGATGTCACGTCGAGCCACCGAGGGTCACACAGCCCCCGAGCTGCACCGACCAGGGAAAGTCAACAACTGCAACAAAACAGTAAACTGTAAACAAATAACCAAGATCACTGCTGATGGGCAATTCTCTTCGAAAGGTACGCAGCCAAAATCCAAAAGAAACCTGCTGGCAGTCAAACAGGCAGGACAGTGGGGGTGGGGGGGGGGGGGGGCGGCTAAATGGTATTTCAGCTCCTTTTCTTCTTAATAGTATCAGATTTCTCTGAGGTCAGCAGCTCCCATGGCACCTAAAGGTAAAGGATCAGTACCTGCTGACCAGGTCATGAACTGCCATCTTTTCAGGAGCTTTTTTCATCCTGCAGACACACACACACACACACACACACACACACACACACATGGGTTTCTAATAATATCTTTGTGGGGACTCTCCATTCATTTCTAAAACTCAAATCCCAACATGACGACCTTAACCCTTACCCAGCCCTAACCTTAACCATAAGTAACCAAACAAAATACAATACTTTTGGCATTTTTAGTTTTTTGATTGCATTCACAGATCTTTGTGGGGACCTGAAAAATGGCCCCCACAATGTTAAAATATTTTTATTATATTGTGGGGGACATTTGGTCCCCACAATGTAACATAAACATAATACACAGACACAGACACAGACATGGGCATTTTAACAAACAGAAAATAAGTGATTCCTGACACTGGGCAAAAAGGGACCACCTTCATTTCAATAAATGGAAGTAAAATTGTGTACCATTCAGTCTGGCCCTATGAAGACCACAAAATTCAACTTGGTGTTGAGTGGAACCTCATGAAAAGCACTGACCATGCAGACATGGCAGCAGCATTTGAATAAACTGCCATCACCTCAAGCGTGGCCTATTCTGGCTCATAACAGACCTGCACAGGTGACAGAGGAAAAGCATTTAAATGGGGGCGCAACGGTACCCAAAATTCAAGGTTCAGTACAAACCTCAGTTCTGAGTTCACGGTTCGGTGCAACTTCAGTACAGCAGGGAAAGGCATTTGTTTTTTAAATTGTTTATTGTTAACACTGCAAACAATTAGAAACAGTTGTAAACCAAACAAAAGGCAAATGTGTCTGTCAATATGTCTGTATAACAAAACCTAAGACGCTTGTTTGAACATTGTAAAAATAAATATGTAAAATAAAAAGTTCAAAAATAAGACTGCATCATCACAATCATAATGAACTACATCCCAATTAAATCCCATGTTTTCTACTACCGAGTATGGTTGTATACCCATGGTGATAAACACCCTCCCAGTCTTAGTTATTTCTTAGCCTGAATTTCCACCTTAAATACTACTGTATACCCAGTATAATAGCTGAGACAGTACTGGTCATATCAACTGCTCTCTCTAATGTTGGTTAAATTTATTGGGAAGCCAAAATGTTCCAAAACTGCTGAATTAAGTGACATTTGAGCTCTCGCCTCATTCACTGACTGTAAGCAGCATTAGCCGTAGCCAATTCACAGCCATAGTTAGCATGTTTGCCGTGTTGAACACCTACTGGTGAATTTAGGTTCCGTCCTTGTCGAGAAATGTATTCGTTCATTTCATTTCATTGTGTGTTCAAAACTGAATATGATGCAACTGGATGACGATGAATACCGTTATAGCCCCAGTCCTCTAAATCATACCTCAGAGCACTCCTGCGCCTCCTTGCTGCAATCAGCTGAAGAAAAAGTCAAACAACGAACACCATCCTGCTACTCTTATGCACCGAGCCATTGCAAAGATAGGAAGCAGGCACTATACGCCTTCGTGTTCACACTTCCAAGTGACGTTTTTTGTCAGCCTCACCAGGCAAGACCTGGATGGTGCCCAAAAGCCAGAATGAAGCATGAAAGTAGCAGAAATGTTCATATGGAGGCAAAGTGCTTCTGATTTACCCTGTGACCCCCATACCCTGTGACCCCCATAGCAAATCCAGTAGGAAAATGTTATGTTGCTCTGTAGACAGATATTGGTGCCCAATAATATCTTTTATTTTTTAGCAATTCACAGACCAACAGTCTCATTATCTTTATGAATAGATTTATTATAAAAGCATGATCAAAAACAACAACTGATCCTGATCACAAATAAAAACATTTATATGAATTAAAAGATCTTTCGTGCATTGTCAGAAAGAACATTTAAAAAATGGAAGGATATGGGCTTAAACTAAATCAAAGATACTTGAAAAATGTGAATGTGACATTCAAAAGACAATAAGATGGTGGATGAGAGAGCAAGACGCTACTGTCCCACCACGTCTCACACAGACACACTTGGGGATGGACCCCCCCCGATAAAGAGATACAATGAGTGAGTCTATTTATAAGGAACTTGGCTGGTGATTACAGAGACATGACAGGTGACATCCATAACAGGATTAAGGCAAAGGCATTAAACAAGGACCGATAATCCATGCTTTGTTGTAACACTGATAAACACCTGTCTGATGGCTTTCTCTCTCAATGTGAATGCAGCCCATATTAATAACTTCTAATTCTGTCCCCACATCCATTAATGCAATTATTGCAAGAATCATTTTGCCAAAACAACCGTAAAAGTGAAAAGCAAATTTGGTTATTCCCATTTTATTTAAAAAACGCAGATAAAGTTGTGGCTAAAACGTGTTTTGTGGACAGACTGCAAACACTGAGAAGCACGTAGTCAAAGACTTCCTGTATCAGAGACGCATGCTGTCCCTGGTGACTTTCCCTCTCTCTCCCTCTCTCTCTCTCTCTCTCTCTCTCTCATACGCGGCTTGGGGCATACGCTTCCTCCTCCTCACTCACACCCACACAGTTGCACTCATACCAGTGTTGGGCTCTGTGTCAGTTTGCGGTCTAATAAAGGAAAGACCACAGGATGCCGGTGCAAGAGTGGAAGGGGAGCTCCGGGCCCAGCGCTACACATGGGCAGGAGGGGCAGGAAGTACAGCTGACTGCAGTGTACATTCAGGGGAAGCAGGAACGTGTACCATTCAGGGAAAGCGGGAAAGTGTACCATTCAGGGAAAGTGGGAAAGTGTACCATTCAGGGAAAGCGGGAATGTGTACCATTCAGGGAAAGCGGGAACGTGTACCATTCAGGGATAGCGGGAACGTGTACCATTCAGGGAAAGCGGGAACGTGTACCATTCAGGGAAAGCGGGAAAGTGTACCATTCAGGGAAAGCAGGAAAGTGTACCATTCAGGGAAAGCAGGAACGTGTACCATTCAGGGAAAGCGGGAACGTGTACCATTCAGAGAAAGCAGGAACGTGTACCTTTCAGGTCTGCACCGACGTAGGTGAAACAAGCATTCCATGTCACCTCTGCATCTTCACAGACACACGACAGAGCTCAGGACAGCATCCGTGAAGTGAAGCTTTCCCACGGCCCCCCACACATTAGTTAGCAGAAAGAACAAGCAGATCTCTGGGGGGAAGAGTGTCAAAGCCTTTCCTATCATTCAGCTGCCTCCTGCTGCCTCGGACGGCTATGTGCGGCGGTCAGAGGAACGGCAGACACCTCAGACACAACTTCTCTCTAATGTGGCGGTGGTGGCCAGCTGAGAAGTGCTCAGGATTCACACTTTTTATCTGCTGTGTGGCAGGAAACGCCCACCAGTGCGGTCCAGAGGAACAAGACAACCAGAGTCAAGTCACCCATTTACAGCCTAAGTTATGCCAAGATTATATGAAGGGTTTACGTGCCGGGGAGACGTCACAGCAGCACGCACTGGGATTACAAGCAAAACATACAGCTCTTCAACAGAATAGAGCATAAAACACTGTACTCAAGAAACAGACAATACATAGAGACACTAAGACAAACACACAGACATACCAGTAAGCATTCAGTAAAAAAAAAAAAAAAGCATTGAACTTTATATAAAATTAAAAATACACCTGATGAAACAGACTCAAATCCTCAGCCTATTTAAGGCCAAGCAGGCTTTATCTCACAGGCCTCAGTGTCTCTGGGATTAGCTTCATGGACCACGGCACTGCGGAAGTTCACTCGCAGACACTAGCTGACCAAGGCCTGTGCCGTTCGCATTTAAAGGCACATCACCCATGAAATGGAGCACCTTAAATCTCTTATCACTCCCTGCGGCGCAATGAGCAAAGGGGGACCGTCTGGGAGCAGGCGAGGCGAACGTCACTGCTGCATGTTTTATTTACTTTTAGGCCACATTATTTGACACTGAATCTCACGACGTGCCAAGATCAGCTCCAGAATAAACCACAGATGGAGAGTAACTATGGCCTTTCAGAAGAGACCAGCACAGAAGCACAAAAGAAGGTATTTACAATATTTTAACAACATATTAAGGCGCCACTCATGACTGTTGGCATTACTGAACAATGGTTCATTCAGCAAAAAATAAATAAAAACACGAAGCCGGAGCTGCGTGACCAGCAGGCCAAAGCACAGTGATGGTTCCTTTGTTTTCCCCTAAAGCACAATATGATAGTTCGACCCCCAGAACCACAAATGAAAGAAAGTGAGCGAGAGAAGAGCAACGTTCCGCCAGCGGACGACTCCTGCTGCGGAGCTGCGGCTTCCTTTGCATCTCTGCAGGGAACCGCCCCCCTCCCAGCCCTCTGAAGTGGCATGTCAGTGTAGCACGGCAGGGTGACAGTAGCTTCGCAGACGCACGGCAATGGCCCACAACCTCCGTCCTTCTCAGGCAACACTAGGGGGAAAAAAAATCCATTTTAAAAAGTTAGAACAGAAATAAATATGACCCAGAATGCCAAGGCTCATTTTAGGAATGTGCAATTCTTTGATGAGGCATCATTTGCTGTTATTAAACATTAAAATCCATGACCTTGGAAAAGAGTTCAGTCACAAACGGCAAATATAAGTCTATTTCTCATCGTGGTATAGCTGCAGCAGCCTATATATAGATGTGGTTTGTAGGCTGATACTCTCACCTTCTCTCCTTCTCTCCGGAGAAACCCCTCCCCCCCCCACACACACACACACACAAAAGTACACATCAAACCCAGCCCACGCAAAGCAGGTGGAAAAATTCCACAGCATGAGTTTGGGCGGACAGAGATGTCTAGAGCGACAGCAGCAGCAACAGACAAAGTTGCTCAAAACAAGCTTAGGGCTAACAAATATTTTTTATAAATATGAGGTGACAAACGACAAGCCACCCATCTGCTCAACATGAACAGAGAAGTAACATAGAAAAAAGGCAAATTTCTAGACAAAAATAAAATGAGACTTTAACAGCTGACAATTCAAACCTGATGACAATTCAATGCCTGATTTCAGTACCGAGTAAGATTTTCCCAGGGACCACGCTTGAATTCCGGAGGTATCTGTGCATATCAGCTAGAGACTCTTAGATCCTGATGGAATTGCATCTGGCAAAATAACCACCCAGTAACAGCAACAGATGGTGTAAAACTGTAACGCTTCATGGGTCTTCTAGAGCAGTGGTTCTCAACCAGGGATCCACGGGCCACTAGGGGGCCTCAGCGAGGACTGATGGGTGGGTGGGGGTGGGGGTGGGGGGGAGCGGGAGAGGGTGTGCAATTTATTCGAAAGCATAGAAAACAATTCAACACTGTCAAAGTTGGGGCTGGGCTGTAGAGAATTTCTAAAGTATATGGATTTTTTTCAAAACGAGATGCAGGATGATAATACCATTTACATCGATATACTGTAACTGTGCATTAAAATTAGGCTTATATTAAAGATTTTTAAAAGAAACCAATAGTATTCCTTCCTGGAATGTAAACGATGCAAGAGCTTAGATCATGATGTTATGCAGAATCCCAAAATTCACAGCTAAATTCAAACCATTCCGTTAGCATCTCATGGGGAAGTTGGGGGGGGGGGATCATTGGTCCATTTAGTTTAAAAACATTGTTAAAAATATTAAATTACAATATTTGTTTTATTTTGTTGAAGGCTAATACCTTAAAATGAGAGTCATTTATGAAGAGCACATTTAATGGTTGTCAAGTTTCTAATTTCAGAGCCATTTGCCAAATAGGTTTTTTTTTCACAGTCTGTTTTGCAAATAATATTATAAACTGAAGAAAAGACACACAAATTCTCAATAAAACACCCTTTCAAATAGTCTGGGATAATCTTACATTAGAACTATTTGACAGGAGATAAAAGTATCAGAACACAATTGATTTGATTCTCATGATTAATTTGTGGAATGGTGAAGCGTCAAGGTGGAGTAACTATTCAAGGAGCCATTTTGTTCTTATTGTGCAAAAAAAGGCTGTGATGGGAAATAACAAAACAGAGAAGGAGCCTAGGAGACCATAACTGCTGTATGCCAAGATTAATAACTCTTTAACATAGCAAATAATTTTTGCTTAGATTTACATGTCAAATGGTGTTACCCCAGGAAAACATTCACAATTCATCAGAATCATATAAACGAGTATTTATCTTTAAATAAAAATTATGTTTGAAACATTCACACCAAGGCCACGTGTTTACATAAGCACCCATGATAATACCTGCCAAATTTGATTTTAAATTGAAATGTCAAATGGTGTAACCAGTTACATCATTTGACTCCTATTACAAGCCTCTGTTAGAGGCCAGTTTTGTGAAATATCAGTAGTTCTTCATGCTGATTATCTGTAATATAAACTCTTACTATATAGAACTATTTGCAAGTGCTCAGTGTTAAACTTTTGGGAAAAGTGATGATTTATCCACAACTTTATCATCAAAGCTCTGTAAGGCTAGGAAATCGTTATGTTGCACAACCTTGGTGTTTTAGAAATGTTTATCTCCAGTGCATATTTGTATTCCATCTACTTACAAATTTAAGCAATGTGGCAGAATCAAGTGGGTGAACTGTGACTGCTGAACATGAACAGCACCTTTAAAAGACCTAGAACTCCAATGCTACTCAAATTGTGAAATTTGCATTTGTAAAATACAATTTATTAAATTACTACAATTTCATAATATAACAGAGCCTAGTTTCCCCTAACAGAAGTCACTTTCAAGCATGGAAATCACAAACACACAGTGAACGCTGAGCCTGCTGCAAGGGCCAAAAGGTGTGAAAGGTAGTTTACACACAGACACACACATGCAGACAGAGAGAGACATACACAGACACATGGACAGACATGTTTTTATCCCAATTCATTGTTGCTACATATTTTCCTTAAATCTTGATTGAGGTCATGGTTCTCAACCAGAAATGGGTGGACTGCCCATCCAGTTTGAGGGTGAGTTAAGGCCTCAAACAGAGGAGTGCAAGTATGTTGGGGTCTTGTTCATGAGTGAGTGGAGGAGGATGCGGGAGGCTGTTAGGCAGATTGGTGCTGCGTCGGCAGTTATGCCGTTCTGTCATGGTAAAGCGAGAGCTGAGCTGAAAGGTGAAGCTATTGATTTACCTGGCAATCTGCAGTCCTACCCTCACCTATGGTTACAAGCTTTGGATAGTGACCGAAACAAAGAGATCAGGGATACAAGCTGCTGAAATGAGTTTCCTTTGTAGAATGTCTAGGCTCAGCCTTACAGAGAGAGTGAGGAGCTCAGACATTTCAGAGAGTATTTGCTCCTCCACATCAAAAAGAGCCAGCAGAGGGGGTTCGGCCACCTATCTCAGATAATTCCTGGACACCTCCCTGGGGAGGTGCTTTCAGCATGTCCAACTGGGAGGAGGCCCCGGGGCAGACCCAGGACACACTGGAGTGTTTATATCTCTCGGCTGGCCTGGGAATGCCTTGGTATCCCCTGGGGGAGTTTAGAGGAGGTGGCTGGAGAAAGGGAGTTCTGGGCATCCCTGTTCAGACTGCTACCCCTAAAGCTGAGCCCCAGATAAGTGGCAGAAAATGGATGGACAGATGGATGGATGAAATCACAACAGAAAACATGAATTCACAATTCTTGTTGTTAGATGTTTTTTTTTATATATTGAAGTAAAACAAAAGACCAAGTTCAGTTGACCTTGTTGACTGTCATGCTTGATTTTTTCTTCAACAAACAATGGCCTTTGACCGTAGAAGCAACATGGTCAGGTGGTGTAACTGGTTTGTGTCAACTGGCATAACCAGTATTTTTCATAAAAATATGATCATATAAGGAAAAATAATGTAGAATAAAACATAATCCTCTATTGCAGTGTAATAACGTTTTTAATTTATACACAATTTGTCAAAGATTATTTAGAAAATGGAGGCATTTTCAGCAGATATCATGCTTGATACTGCAAAACTGCATTAAATTTAGAGATACAGACGCTCATCTACTTACGAACTTTCAGACATACGAAGAGGACTGTAAGTCCAAATTGTGTTCCTTGGGCTCCCGTTTCCTGTCCACAACATCAATTTTTTTTTCTGTACGGCAATTCCTCCTAGTATGACTTCTGGCCGCTACTCCCGCCGCTCAGCAGCGTAGCGTGCGCATTCCCAGCATCCTAGTTCTTAGTACTTGCGTATACCCATAAAATGATGTTGAATAGCGACTTACGAACATTTCAAGTTACGAATGGCCATTCGGAACTTAACTCATTCGTAAGTAGGGGAATGTCTGTAATCCTATTTTTTTGTGATATTTTAAAATGCAATTGTTGTCAGTACACTCTGGGTGGATAATATATTTAATATTTCTAATTCTTTTGTGATTACACCATTTGACATTTTCAGGGACATTCAGTCTTACCTTTTGTACATAATTGGTTCAAATTAATTTCAAATTACATGAAACCAACATGAGTATGAAATGTACATTTCAACAAACCTGATACATGCTTTTAAAACAAATTTTTAAAATATTTTTGAGTTGCTTATCTTGTCAACCCGTATTTGTCACTGACCCTTATTTTAATAAAAAATATGTCATTTTTGTCATTGTTGTACATTGTTACAAAACAAACAATATTATACAATACTATAACTTGTGTAGGGGGGGCCAAACACATCATTCTGGACACAGAGGATCCCTGGGGACCTGACCGCTGGCTAAGAACCGCTGTTCTTGATTACCAAATACTACAGCATCAGCTGTAGCTGCGACAAGACACTTCCTGCAGCTAAGCTTCTAGCCGCATGAACTGGCTCCCGTTAAGACTTTCTGGGAGTCCTGACACCAACAGGAAGTAGTGGTGAAGAAGCCACTCTGCAGGTGTGAGATCTTAGGAACGCAGCAAATGGCCTGTAGCATCTCAACTGTTGAACATACAGTAGTATGGAGCCTCTGGGTTTGACATCCTCATATGATTTCTGCAAACCTGAGGACAATAGGCTGTGAGCCACGTGGCTCCGAGCATTTTTTTGTGAAAGTAATTACTGGATCAGCCATTACAAACAGCACTGTGTTTGTTAAACTGAATGAACTTAACGATAATCCTGTACTTACAGTTCCTGCCTCTTGGCACACACAGCTCTTTAAAGGTGGATTACAATGAGACACGTTTGTTGCACAGCAGCAAAAATGCACGGGTTAACATCTTTCCCTACTACTTCTGTTTACGCAATATGCATGTGTGGCATCTTGTATGGGGGGGGGGGGCAACATCTATCTTGGCTGTGTGGGTGTGGAGCCAGTGAAAGACACAAGACATACGGTGCCCAAGATGGCCGTTACTCAATTCCAGGAATGCAAGTCCAGGAAGGTTGAATCATCCCCACCACTTGTTTTGAAGACAAGCACTATGGCAAAGTCTTAGACCAGCCACCTATGCAATAATAC